GATTACAGGCATGCGCCACCATGCCCAGCTGATTTTTTGTATTTTTTTAGTAGAGACGGGGTTTCACCATGTTGACCAGGATGGTCTCGATCTCTTGACCTCGTGATCCACCCGTCACGGCCTCCCAAAGTGCTGGGATTACAGGCGTGAGCCACCGCGCCCGGCCAAGCTGACTTTTTTTAATAACTGAAAGAAATGAGAGCCAAGTATAGGGGTTCACACCTGTAATCCCAATACTTTGGGAGGCCAAGTCAGGGAATCACTTGAGCCCAGGAATTCAAGACCAGTCTGCAAAACATGACCAAAACCCATCTCTATTAAAAATACAAAAATTAGCCAGGTATGGTGGGGTGCCCCTGTGGTCCCAGCTACTCTGGAGTCTGAGGTGGGAGGATTAGGCTGGGTGTGGTGGCTTACACCTGTAATCCCAGCACGGAAGTCAACAGTGTTTGTGCCACTGTACTCCAGCCTGGGCAAGAGAGATGCTCTTTCAAAAAAAAAAGGGGTGGGGGCTTATTTACTTGAAAGAATGGTCTAGATGCCTGACTCTACCATTCACTGTGTTTTGTGGTTGTGTGGCATCCCTTCACCTCTCTGAGCCTGTTCCTCATCTGTAAAATGGGCATGATATGTATCTCACAGGGTTTTTTTGTTTTTTGAGACAGAGGTTTGCTTTTGTTGCCCAGGCTGGAGTGCAATGGTGCGATCTCGGCCCACTGCAACCTCCGCCTCCCAGGTTCAAGCAGTTCTCCTACCTCAGCCTCCCAAGTAGCTGGATTGCAGGCACCTGCCATCATGCCCAGCTAACTTTTTGTATTTTTAGTAGAGACAGGATTTCATCATGTTGGCCAGGCTGGTCTTGAACTCTTGACTCAAATAATCAACCCAGCTGGACCTCCCAAAGTGCTTGGATTACAGGCACGAGCCACTGTGCCCAGCTCTGGTTTTTTGTTCTTTTAACAGACAGGATCTCTCTATGTTGCCCAGGTCCTTGATCTTGAACTCCTGAGCTCAAGCAGTCCTCCCTCCTCCACCTCCCAAACTGCTGCGCCCAACCAAGGGTTTTTAAGAGTAAAATGTGAGGACGGGGCACGGTGGCTCACGCCTGTAATCCCAGCACTTTGGGAGGCCTAGGCAGATCACCTGAGATCGGAAGTTCGAGACCAACCTGACCAATGTGGAGAAACCCCGTCTCTACTAAAAATGCAAAATTAGCCAGGCACAATCGCGCATGAGGGAGGGGAATTGCGTGAACCCTAGAGGTAGAGGTTGTGGTAAGCCGAGATCTCACCATTGCACTCCAGCCTGGGCAACAAGAACGAAACTCCGTCTCAAAAAAAAAAAAAGAGTAAAATAAATGTGGCCAGGTATGGTTTAGCAGTCTTCCAAAGGATGAATTTAGGCCCTTACTATTCAAAATGTAATCCACAGAGCAGTGGCATCACCACTAAATGTAGATCTCAAGCCCCACCCAAACCTGCTGAATCAATCTGCGTATTAAAAGATCCCCAGGGCCGGGCGTGGTGGCTCAGGCCTGTAATCCCAGCACTTTGGGAGGCTGAGACTGGCGGATCACGTGAGGTTAGGAGTTCGAGACCAGCCTAGCCAACAAGGAGAAACCCCGTTGCTACTTAAAATACAAAAAAATTAGCCGGCGTTGTGGCGGTCCGCTATAATCCCAGCTACTTGGGAGGCTAAGGCAAAAGAATTGCTTGAACCCAGGAGTCCGAGGTTACGCCATTGCACTCCAGCCTGGGACAGTGCAGGACTCTGTCTCAAAAAAAAAAAAAAAAAAAAAAAAAACATATTATTGGTGGAAAAAAGTTTAAGATGCACTTTTAGACCAAAGGCAACTGAAATGGGGGTAAGCTCGGATGATATGAGAATCCAGAGTAAACATGGAAGGCACTCCCTATGCGTTGTCTCATTTGCACCAACAAGACCAATAACTGGAAAAGGTGACATTTGAACTAAGCACCATCTAGAGCAAAGTGGAGGAAGAGAGGGTTTTTGGACTCTTTCTTGTCAAAGAGGTTTAATTAGTTTTGTCTATTATACTAGAGATAAATGAAGGTTCCACACATCTAAGCTCACCTACTCCAGGGTCTTCATACCCGACAAAGGTAATAATCTTTTTCGGTCCCCCCAACTTCCTTCTGCTACAAAATAAGATCCTTGCTCACTCCAACAAAAGCCCTTAGACTTAAACCCTGGCTAACCCATTAAACAAAACAAAAACAGCATATGCATAATAATTTGAGTCTAGCACCAGAAACACCCCGAGAGCCTTACAGCACCTCCAACCAATGCTCCTTTCGCGCCCTAAACTCCCAAGGTCCCGCCCCCGACCTTGGGGTAAGCTCCTGTCCCCGCATTTCCGGGCAAGGAGTGACCACGTGGTTGCCTCCTGTAACAATCCAGCCCTGCTCCCACTCACTGGCTGAAGCCCGAGAACGACAGTAGAATACACCAATGGGACCCTGAAAGAACCTAAGCGACAGCCTTTCGACCACTCAATGTCAGCTAGGTGTGAGTAAGGCGGGACTTTAAGTACGGAAGCTGCCCCGGGACATGAGGAAAGGAACAGGGGAAAGACCCGGTGAAGGGTGCAGAACAGGCAGGTGAGAGCCTGGAAGAGCTCAGTAATCTGAAGCTTGGTGGGAAGAAGGGATTCTGGGCTAGAAAGGGTGCAGAAGCCTGAAGTAAAAAGAGACAGGATTTTGGTCCGGGGTGGAGAGAGGGAATGCATTAAAAAGGGCCAAGGCCCAGAATAAGGTAGACATTTAAAAGGGCAGATGCCCCGAAGAAACATTTAAAAGGGTACAGATACCCAAGACAGAGGAGACACGTGAGGATACCAGCTCGGCAAACGGAAGACATTTAAAGTGGTAGGTTCCCAGGAGAGAAGGAGTTTTTAAGACTAGAGCTAAGCTTAGAAGACATTTTAAAAGGCATGGGTTGGGATTTGGGAACACGTTTTTTAAAGAGGCAGGAATAAAGGAGTCGCTTGTCAAGGATCTGGTTAGAGAAGACTGAGGCTCTTCCTCTAAGGAGGAACTTGCACACTCGCTCTCCCCCATTATCCCTTCTGGCTCCTCCAGGTTCCCTCGACCCAGGACCCCCTGTTCCCAGGCTATGGCCCCCAGTGTCCTGTAGACCTGGCGGGCCCCCTGTGCTTGCGACCCCTAATTGGGGGTCTGGGTGGCTACTGGAGGGCCTTGCAGAGAGGCAGAGAAGGCAGGACCATGACATCTAGGGCCTCTGAACTTTCCCCGGGGCGCAGCGTGACGGCTGGCATCATCATTGTTGGAGATGAGATCCTTAAGGTGTGTCTGGGACAGAAGTCGGGGGAGGGCACGGCGTTCTCTTCTTAAGGGCCTGCTGCACATCCCTCCATGGAGGGAGGTGAAACAGGGTGGGGGGGGGGCTTGCTCCATTAGGATCCTGGAGTGAATCCAACATGAAGAAAATTAGCCCTCGTTCTTTCAATTACTTTACTGATGAACCTGTAGCAAAGTCCCTACAGTTTTTCAATCTGAGAGAGCTGAATGAAAAAAAGGGGAAAAAAAAAAAAAAAGGTCTTTGCAATTTACCAAGCAGTATGGTAGAGGGCGGAGGGGCTGCACAACAATGCCAGGAAGCCCCTCGAGTAGGGGAAGTACCCGTGTATGTACTGCATACTTAAGAGTTTTACCCGGCCTTTTTGGAAGTGACTCAAGGTACTCAGCATAGTGCATAAGTGAGCCAGAAGGGAGGCATCCCTTCTGAATTATCAGGAAAGGCTTACTAGAGGACACAGCAGATGACAGAGTTTGTTTTTGAGACAGGATTTTGCTCTGTCGCCTAGGCTGGAGTGCCGTGGTACAGTCACAGCTCACTGCAGTCTCCATCTTCTGGGCTCAAGCAATCCTCCTGCCTCAGTCTCTGGAGTAGCCGTGACTATAGGTGTGAGCCACCACACCCGGCTAAATTTTTTTTTTGGGGGGGAGGGCGGCAGAAAAAGGGTCTCACTATGTTGTTGCCCAGGCTAGTCTCAAACTCCTGGGCTCAAGCATTCCTCCTACCTCGTCCTCCCAAAGTGCTGGGATTACAGGCATGAACCACCGAGCTTGACCAAATGTCAAGTTTTAATAGTAATTTTTTAAAATATTGTTTGTAAATTGGTCTTTTTGTTGTTGTTTTTTTTTGAGATGGAGTCTCACTCTGTTGCCCAGGCTGGAGTGCAGTGGTGGGATCTCAGCTGACGCCTCACGCATTCAAGCAGTTCTCATGCTGGGATTACAGGTGTGAGCCACTGCACTCAGCCTTAATAGACCTCCTTTTTTTTTTTTTAGACAGTCTTGCTCTGTTGCCCAGGCTGGAGTACAGTGGCATGATCAATCTTGGCTTACTGCAACCTCCGCCTCCCAGGTTCAAGCAGTTCTTCTTCCTCAACCTCCTGAGTAGCTGGGACTACAGGCATGCACCACCACACCTGGCTAATTTTTTGTATCTTTAGTAGAGACAGGGTTTCGCCATGTTGGCCAGGCTGGTCTTGAACTTCTGACCTCAAGTGATCCACCCACCTCAGCCTCCCAAAATGTTGGGATTACAAGCGTGAGCCACTGCACCTGGCTCTGACCCCTACATTTTAAGTGGCTACTAGGGCCTGGCAGGGTGCTTTACATCACATATATGTGATTTTACTAATCCTTACAACCTCACACAACAACCCACAATGTTGGCACTTTTTTTTCTTTTTTAAATTTTTATTTTATTGTTTGTTTTATAAATGAGGTTCTCACTAGGTTAACCAGGCCGGCTTCAAGCAATTTTCCCGTCTCAGCCTCCCAAAGTGATGGGATTACAGGCATGAGCCACTTTGCCCAGCCTTTTTCTTTTTTTTTTTTTTTTTGAGACAAAGTCTCACTCTTGTCGCCCAGGCTAGAGCTAATTTTTTGGTTTTTTTGTAGACACGGGTCATGCCAGTTGCCCAGGCTGGTTTCGAACTCCTAGGCTCAAGCATTCCTCCCACCTCACCCTCCCAAAATGCTGGAATTACAGGTGTGAGCCACCACACCTGGTCGGCAAAAAAATCCCAATTAATGATGAAACTGAGAGTCAGAGAAGTTGAGAAACCTGCCGAGGGTTACCTAGGAAGTTGCAAAGACGGGATTCCAGCCTGATGCCTGATTCTCCCTTACTCCAAAATACAGGCCCTTTTTTTCTTTGGTAACAGGGTCTCTGTCACCCAGGCTGGAGTGCAGTGACATGATCTCAGCTCACTGCAATCTCTGCCTCCTGGGCTCAAGCAATCCACCCATTTCAGCCTCCCAAATAGCTGGGACTACAGGCGTGCGCCGCCACTCCCAGCTAATTTTTGTATTCTTTTGTAGAGATGGGGTTTCACCATATTGTGCAGGTTGGTCTCAAGCTTCTGAGCTCAAGCGAGACATCCCCCTCAGCCTCCCAAAAGGCTGGAATTACAGGCATGAGCCACCACACCCGGCCATCAGAACACAGACCCTTAACGACTAAATCCTTTGTAGGAAATTAGAAGGAGATGGGGCTGAAAAAGAAGATAGGCTATATACCACAGACAGCCCCAAATACTCTGCAAAGGAATTTGAACTTTCTTCTGTTTACGGTTGGAAACAACAAATAGCTTTTGAGCCCAAGAGTGATGCAATCACAGTGACGCATTAAAAAGGTTACACAGGAGGCAAAGCAGAGCACTGTGGCTGGATGTTGGGAGCCTGGCCGGGAAGCTGTCACCATTGTCTAGGTGAAAAGTACTGAGGACCTGCTTGGTGGCAGTGGGGACAGAAAGAAGAAAGCAGGCTGGGCATGGAGACTCACACCTGTAATTCCAGCACTTTGGGAGGCTGAGGCGGGAGGATCACTTGAGACTAGAAATTCAAGACCAGCCTGGGCAACATAGTGAGTCCCCATTTCTACAAAAAAATCAAAAATTAGCTGAGTGTGGTGACAGAAACCTGTAGCCCCAGCTACTTGGAAGGCTGAGATGGCCCTTGAGCCCAGGAGGTTGAGGCTGCAGTGAGCTGTGATTGAGCCACTATACTCCAGCCTGGGTAACAGAGACCCAGCCTTAAAAACAAAGCAATGGATTTTCCCACTCTCTTGTCCAGTCCAAAGAGCAGAGCACTGCGTCATCAGGCGGATGCAGCTATCATCTCCATCCCCTTCATCCCTACAGTACTGACGGCCTCATCCTCCCGTTCAACCCCCAGGGACACACTCAGGACACCAACACCTACTTTCTGTGCCGGACACTGCGCTCCCTAGGGGTCCAGGTTTGCCGAGTCTCAGTTGTACCTGATGAGGTAGCCACCATTGCAGCTGAGGTCACCTCTTTCTCCAGCCGCTTCACCCACGTCCTCACAGCAGGGGGCATCGGCCCCACTCATGATGATGTGACCTTTGAGGCAGTGGCACAGGCCTTTGGGGATGAGCTGAAGCCACACCCTGAGCTGGAAGCAGCCACCAAAGCCCTGGGAGGAGAAGGCTGGGAGAAGCTGTCACTGGTGCCCTCGTCTGCCCGCCTGCATT